TATATGTATATGTATATATATATATATATATATATATATATATATATATATATATATATATATATATATATATATATATATATATATATATATATATATATAAGTGCACCTCATTGTTAGAATTATCTTTTAATGTTTCTGCAGTAAATCTCCGACTATCCCACTATGGCTATCCATCTCACCTTCTCTTTTTCATGTAATAATCTGTCTCTTCATCTTTGTTTGCATCACTTCCGTGCATCTATGTGCATGATTTATTTCTGGGGGACATAAAATGGACGATATGCATGTATGTTGTTTGGTGATAGCAAGATCCTCTATGCAAATGATGATTAATGTTAAATGTATAGTCCCTTGAGTGTAAGAAGTAGGCAGGATACGTGCCTCAAAGTTCAGATTTTTTTTTTTTTTTTTTTTTTTTTTTTTTTTGACGGGAAAAGGGAAACCCCTTCCTAAGCCTCTCCTGTATTGTCCAGCATGTGGCTTGCGCAATTACATCAACTTGGAAAACACTAATTTTTTGCTGCCATCCTGGTGTGCTAGGGATTTGGGCGAAAATCTGGAGTTGGCCTGGCATTTTATAGCCCCACGTAAAGAAGAAATATCGATTACCTGGGTTTTCTCCTGCTCGTCTTTACCTTTGGCTGATTATGCCTTACTCCTGCCTTGGCACGATATCAGTGAGGAAACAGATCAGTATTGCGAGTAATAATGCTTAGAATAAATGTAGAAGAATACAGAATATAAATACAAAAAGAACTCGAATCATTACAGTTTGGCTAATCCAAACTTTCTCTCGGGAATCTTTGATTTAATGCATGACCTTTTATCCACCAACAGACTATATTCGACCAGTTGTGTCTTCCCTTCAACTACCGGACCAAAGACTTTGTAAATGAGCGTCTAGCCGTCGTGGGTTATGGCAGCACCTCCTTTGGTAGGTAACAGCAACAATGTATGTATTATATATAAATATATATATATATATATATATATATATATATACATTTTATTATTATATATATACATATATATATTATATATATTATATATTATATATATATATTGTATATATATATATATAATATATATATATATATATATATATATATACACATATTATATATAAATATATATATATATATATTATATATATATATAAGTATATGTATATATTTATACATATATATATAATATATATATATATATTATATAAGTATATTATATATATGTAATATATATTATATATTTATTATATATAATATTATATATATGTGTGTGTGTGTGTGTGTGTGTGTGTGTGTGTGTGTGTGTGTGTGGTGTGTGCGTGCATACAGAAACTGCCCGTAATGTGAACTGAAAAGTGTAACAATTCGAGCTCCTCAGACGCAGTAAGGGCAGAAACATGCTCAACACTTTCCCTCGTCGTCAACAGGGGTCAGCAATCTAAATTACCCATTGCTGCAGTGCTGAACGTGTTAAGTTTAAGAACCTGTCAAACAGCTACAGGAGACTGTCCTGGGAAGACAAGTCATCTTAACTGACTCGCAGATGTGTGCAGGTGGTGCCAGTGGGAGCTCCTGTACTGTGAGTGAATTGTTGTTATTCTTTCATAGTCTGTTCCACATGCCTATCCCCTTGGCGTGCATTCCAGGTGAAAGATTTTTATATTCTTGTGATGTTTTATTTCATGTAAATTAAATGATGGATTACATAAAGATATATCTTATATTTGTATCAGAGAATAATCATTCCAGAGCAGATTAATTTTACACCTCTTGAACTGTCGTTTGTGTGATGCTTCTAACACACGCACATAAATACAAACGTATGTTCTCAGATCTATAAATATACGTCATATTCTGTGAGTTTTCCGAGCGTATGATTCATCCAGCCTTTTTTTCTGTACAGGGTGATAGCGGAGGGCCTCTGAACTTCTTCGACATCAACACTCGCAGGTTTTACATTGTTGGCCTTGTGTCCTTCGGTTATGGCTGCGGCGAGTTTCCTGAAGTCTACACGCGTGTGGGAGCTTACCTCCACTGGATAGAGAACACCCTGAACGACAGCACTCTCTGAATCAGTGGTTATTCTCAGCACGTACACCATATGCTTACAAGAAACTTCTGCCCCTCAACCATGAAGATAGTTTACACCGCGTCCGGGGAAATGATACCAGACTGACAGATGACTGCTAAAGAAACAGGCTTGCTTCCAGATTTCAGTACCACAGTGAGGATACAAGCAAAAGCAAAAGTTGGTATGCAACCAGGTGTCAAAATCCTTAATTCTGCTGCCTCCACGAAATACTCAAGGTACACAGTTTCCAAGAATGATCGTGAAGCAGAAACTACAAACCGGCATATGAGACGTAGCTGATCCTAATTTTAAAGTGAGAGGGTATAAAATGTAGTAAACGTTCGTAGTGACATTTTGTAGATACTTATTATTTTAATTATTACTGCCCCTGCAATAAGCACATTTTTAAGAGCATCAAAGGCGTCTGTAAAATCATTTCATTATATGCAAGATCAATGTATATCCATGTTACTATTGTATACTGTTGTTCAATTATTAAATATTGTAACATAAGTTTATATATTTCAAATTTTAGCTGCATACCATTGTATTTCCATATCTAATTGTAATCATTAATTTTGTAATTATATTACCGTTTGTATGCCATATCTTTACAGTCAAGTTGACACTAGTAGAGAATATTTTAACTTTTTCCTGTTATGACAAAATTCAATTCCACAAAAGCTGTAGAATATATGCAGTTGGCAATAAATCTTCCAGTACTGGGCCTTCAGACTAATAAAAGGTGAAGCAACACAGAGATCGACCTGACTTCCTTTATCCTTAGCACACTTAACACGACCACATCAGTGCACTCTGAGCAGTAGTGATCACCCTCGGCTGCAGTGATACATTTTAGCAACTTTCTTTATAACCTTATGTCCCATCTCATTATTCATATTGATATCCAGAATATAATAGTCAGTCACCGTTGGTCTTTGCAATTTAGTTAAATTAGTTATGAGAAACTAACTGGTCTGCTATGATCGAGCTAAAGGCATTAGTTTATTTTATAGTTTTATTTCCACCACCTGTCTATCGTTTAATCACTAAAAATAATGTGTAGTGTAGTAAAACACCATTCTGTATTAACAACACTCCAAATATTCTATGTCTAATAATACGAAATGTATGTAAACGAGTGTTATCGTATAAGAATACATAAGATTTGACGTATAGGAGTACTCCAGAGTCCAGTGTAAGTTGCCTAAGATTGATGCAAAACTTCCAAGCCACAGGATTCTAATGAAAAAAAATCAGGAAACGAATGTACTTGTTGCATTGCCCGGAACAACAACAAAATTTGACTTCCATTTATTGCAGTGTTGTCCAAACTGGGGTCCCCATACCCCTGGGTGCGTGAACGAACAAGGAACACATACACACACACAAACAAAAACATGACATGGTCTATGAATCATCTCTTTTATTCTCGTATTAAATTCAAATTTTTATTGACCAACACTCCTGCAATGCAGTCTTTTCATAATTAGTATATTATATGCATTATCCTAATAAACAGTTTGTTTAGCCATGGTGGACGGAGGAGGGGAGGGAGGGGTACGTAACACAACAAGAATTTAATAAAGGATACAATAGGCGAAAATGTTTGGACAACACTGATTTAGCGATTCAGAATATACTCTGGACGGGATTTAATTACGCGACATAGCAAAATGCCAAGCTTCACTAAAACCTATATAAATGTGAATATACAAACGATAATTTATTTTTTCTAACTTGATAATCATCACCAAATATCATTTTGTTATACGATGATATTATGAAGTTAGGCCGTGAGAAGAGAACGTTTTTGATGAGTAAGCCTTTTTTAAAATCTTACGTGTTTCAGTAACCGCTTAATCTTAATCTTAATAAGCCTAGTATTCACCTGGCTCTAGTTTGCAGCAGGTGAATCAGGAATATCAAGCTCAAAACATTTCGAGGACAAATTTTCTTTTCAGCTACTGCCTTGAGAAACAGTAAAGACCTAGGATTACATATATATTTATATATATATATATATATATATATATATATATATATATATATATATATATATATATACATGATATATTTTTCATATCTATCTATCACTATATGTATATATATAAAGAGAGATAGAGAGAGGTATATAGATATACATATATTGTATTGCGTGCATGTACGTAAATAAATCTTTCACTTAAAATAAATCTTTCCTATCCCTTACCATCACGACTATCGTAATATCACATGCTAGTAATTCATCGATCGTTCCGCGGATCAATTCTGAAGATCCCAACGACTATCACTTTGGTAGCCTTGTTGTAGATTTTTGTGTTAATACCCATGCAACAAGTAGTGACATTTCACTTTATATGAGGTTGAAAATAAACAAATATCCTATGTGTGTATTCGTATATTTTACATTTTATTTTTCGTTATCGACGAAAAAGATCTTGGTTCAGGAAGTGTATATATTACAGCGTGTTGGTTGGTTGTGGTATTCTGCTACAAATGTGAACGAAGATGAAATCAGGGTCTAAATTAGTATTACTTATGTAGACCTTGGATGAAATGGCGTGGCCGCTATGGCAAGGAAACTCTAGATGGTAGTTTCAATAAGACAGGAAACGCCATCGCTTTCCCATCACGTTGTAGCAGTGTAATTTTAAAGTGAATCCTGTTTATCTTATGATGAGAGACGGGAGAGTAAAGGCGTGTAAATTCAAGGTAAAAAACGTACCTGGTGATTGTTCTTTTGTTGTGTATTTGCTGGTTTCGAGTCCCGAAAAAAAATGTATAATTGTTTTTGCCGTGCCTCATAACACGTTAACACACATTCTATGCTGTATGCCATGACAATATTTTCATTTAGTTAAAGCTGTCCAGTGTTCGTATCACTACAAATACTTCAAGCTGTGGTGATTTTTTGAGGTGAGGAGCGATAACTTTTCAACTATATAGGACATTTTTTCCATACTAGTTACTGTATTTCAACCTTTTTTGTGTAACACATCACAGCTGAAAACTACAACATTTCATTTGTTTCATGCTATGTGCACGGCAATCAATCAAAATAGCGACAATCATTTCTCCACTAAAAGGGAATTTTACCATTACAGACTTTTTTCTTTCTTTCTTTTCTTTTCTTTTTGATCTTGTACTAACATCCAAAGTCTATATAGGTCTAGATATATATGTTTAAAGACCAGGCTAACACCGACGTCAGTCTCCCGGAAAAAAATAACATGGCCTGGGTTTCCCGTAAATGGAAGCGCTTAGGGAATTTCCAGATCCTCATAACACATGCCGTAGATATCACTATAATAAATGTTTTGTGTTTCGGGGGAACTAAAACATATCCGAAAGGCTAAAATCACCATTATTTGCAATTGAAAATTCCCTTCTTTTAAAGATAAAAGATATTGCAGTACTTGGGAACCTCCTGCATAGCGACAAAGCTGGCTTGCTCTTGCCTGGACGACACTCTGTCGTTATTAAGGGCACAGCGCTCATCTCTCGGTCCTTCGTGTGTGTGTACGTTTTCTCAAGCATTTCTGTTTGCATATTGATGGCCATAATGTTTGGACACTGTGCACTGTGTAAACACTTACACGCACGTACATATATACACACACAAACACACACACGTATATATATATATATATATATATATATATATATATATATATATATATATATATATATATATACTTTTTCGTTTGCTCTGTATTGCCTTAATATCCTTCCTAATAAGCAGTTAATATATTTCGTCTTTCTTCAGGAAGATGCTGTGGCTGGGAGTGATCGTCTTCGCCATTTGCACAGTGGACGGGCAAAGTAAGTCTCGTTTTTTTATATGTTTGTTTCTGTTATTATCATTAAAGCTGGTTTTCATGGTACTAATGATCCTAATTAGGCTAACATTGATT